AAAAACATCGCAGGCTCAAGTGGTATCGAATTACCGATACTTTTTGCGAGTATCGAAAGTATCGATACTTTTGTAAGTATCGATGATTTCGATACTTTTTCGATAGTATCGCCCATCACTAGTAAATGACTGGGCATGAATAAACTTTTGAGAAACTGTCAAGAATAGTGCCATGCTCTCATTCTTAACTCTCTGTATAAATAATATAAAGCTCAAAACACTAACCATTTGTAAGAAAATATAAGCAGGCTCTCTCGGTGAACTCTCTAGACTGGTAAATTGAACAGGTTGCCAAATATCGTTGTACTTTGCCTCGTCAGTACAGTAATCCTTTAAGTCTAAAGTACAATTTTAATAAGAGTTACTATTTCAAGCTTATAGTGCTATGCTTGATAAATCAAGGAAAAAACCTGGGCACGCAGTGGGCTATTTCATTAAAATGGTAGAAAATACATACTTTTGCCGTTGATATATTTGTTCTCCACAAGAATTTTGACGGCATTTTTCTCCACTATAAAAACGTATTTTTTAAACGAAGGATTAAATATTTCCCGAACCGGGAAAGTAGTTGAAGAGTTATGATTTTTGGAGAGTTTCAATACACGCTTCCGCAAGGTACATCACCTTGGCTATAAAACCTCGTTTTCGGTATACCACATTAGGGTCACGTCTCAAGCACGAAAACGAGGCGCTATAGCCATGGAGATGACACCCCTGTTTTCAACGAACGAAATTCATGGCACAGATTCCAGTAGTGGGTTTGTATGATCTCGATTTGCAACCGTTAATAGTAACGATGGTGTTGCCATAGTCGTATATTTTAGAATTTATTTGCATGCGAAGATGTAGCTTTCGCAGCCAGCGGCCCAGCGTTTGAACGGCGTGGTTATAAATTCATGTCTCACTGTTTATGAATGCTGAGCCATATTTTTACCCTAACTCATGAACAGCGAGACATGAATCTATATCCAATGGCGGGAGGGCCGGACGAGCTGCCCAACACATGCTGTTTGTGGGGCGCACAACTATATAAAAGTTTTCCTTTAATTCGGTCGATTTTACCCGAATGACCGCACTGGTATAACATGTATAAGCGCCACTTTGGGGATTGTACTACTGTTTAATTTTTACCTGTTTCATCGGAGTTCGCCTGGGGGTAGCCATACAGAGCGTGTATGAAACACAACGATTTCAACAATGAAATTAAATTATCACTCATTTTATCAGCATACACGTTTATTGTATAACGTTTTTTTGCCAGTTCTTCCATCTTCAAACAATACTCCAAAACCATCAACAAAAATGCTTCGATGTCCTTGTGAATCTCACTACGTTCTTTTAAGAACCACTCAAATCTCTGCTGACACATTTTCTTCACAGATCTGGCACTGTCGAACTGCAGCGACGCTAAAGCTGGTCTTGGTTTGTGTAATACTTTACTGAAATTGTTTCGGCTTTAAACCAGAGAATACCACATCCGCGTCTTGTTTTGAACTGAACCGCGTTCTGTTTTGGAGTAATCGAGACCACATTTACATAATATTTTGCCACAATATTTTACCACAGTATATGCATGCAGGCATTACAGATTAGCTCCAGCTCGTTGCCACAGAATTTTGTTTTTCTTGCAAATTTACCTATTAAAGTACTATCTTATAAAAAAAGGTGAAATTTCAATGTCTACTTTTAGCAAATATCACCTATATCGTTATAAAGATCGCCAAAAAACTATGTAAAGAACATTTAAGTGGGTCTAATTAGTACGGTTTTCCAATCCTATCCCGAGTTATTACCATCATAGCAGCCGTTTACACCCGTTTTCAAAATTACGCGACCAAGGACGAAAATGCTAGAGTTGACATGTCAGTTTTATGTCATTCGGTCACGAAGTTTAAACTTTGAGTTTTGCGGTTCCTTAATTGTCGATGTATATGCTTTGTATGCTTTATATAAACTGGCTTACAATGATTTTCAAGATATTTTAGTGAGAATTATTGCAAAATTTAAGCACAACAAGTCAACAAAATCATAACATCACCGTTATATAAGTCTTATAACTTATAGTCTAGCGCGCGTGTTTTTACTGACAGCTAAATTCCCGGATAAATTGTTATTTTTCAAACTTTAAAAGTTATTCACGGCACATATTTCTGTTGTGATGGTTTGTATTGTGCTTTAGTTTGTATATCTAAGTTATCTAACTCATTTTTGTTCAGTTTTGGTATTAAATACAGTTTAAAATGTCTTTTGACAGTTTGTTTAGGTTTGCTATTTTTAGCAGTTTTTGTGACATAAAACTGACATTTGAAGTAAGAGTATTTTTCAGGGAGGTCGCGTAATTTTGAAAACGGGATCGTGACTAAAACACCACACGAGTACATACGAGTAACATACGAGTAACACACAAGTACATACGAGTACATACGAGTAACATACGAGTACATACGAGTACATACGAGTAGATACGAGTAACACACGAGTAACATACAAGTACACACGAGTAACATACGAGTACACACGAGTAACATACGAGTAAATACGAGTACATACGAGTACATATGAGTAAAATACGAGTACATACGAGTAAAACACGAGAATTAGCACGTTTTCTTTAAAGTTTCTTTCACTTTCACACTTTCACTTTGGCTTCGTATTATGTTCATGTTGTAAATGCCTTATTGACATAGGCGTACGAGACGGGGG